AAATTAAAACAACTTGCTGGAAAATAAGTTATTTAATACTACCTGTCCCACTACCCGCTCTGTCATTCTTCTGTGTTTGTGAAATATTGCTAAAGAAAGAAATTGCTTCTTCCACATCTGTCACTTCCAAATGTGTCGAATGCCCGGCCCCCTGTTTTTTTTTTTCTTTCTTTCCTGGCCCCTAAACCAATTCTGTGTGCTGTAGAGAGGAAGGTCCAGCATAAGAAACCACAGCGGACAGGGAGGCTAGGCATCCGACACTGCCAAACAGGTCAGATGCCGAAGGATCTTTAGCCAGTTGTATTTCATGAACACAGAAGAGTATGACAGCATATGCAGGGGGACAGATAAGTAATACATGGCTTCCTTTTCAGGCAATTTGTTTTTTCTATTTTTGTGATTAGATTAAGAAGTCACTTTAAGGGTGTATTGTGAAACACAGCTGACTTCCAGTGTACATATCAAGCATATCAATCATTAGGTAGATATCGAAACACTCCATTTTCTGTGCCATTTCTGGACCTCTTCTGTTTATAGAGGCCAAATAATGCTAATTTAAATAATAGACATCCAATAACTTAGAAGCAAACCATCAACTGTATTAAGTTCTCATTGATGTGTTATTGAAATTCTTATACTGCTGCTATTGTTCTCCTGTATGATATGTTGTTTGTGCTGAAGACTACGCTGAACTGACTGGATCAGTCACTGGTCATAGGTGGGTGGTTGTGGGAAGGGAGATGTTCTTCCAGTCCGTTGTACCCAATGGTGGATACTGGTGGTAAACCCTCTTTCTGGTACGGCCTTAAGGTAATTTCCACACGTACACTTGGAAATATAGGAAAAAAGGAACAACTAATGTCCAAAAGAATGCATTTTTAATGGTAGATTAAGAGACATTTATTGAGAATAATGACAAATACATCAAACCAACGCGTTTCTTCAGGGCTGTTTCTGCACACTATTAAATGGGAAAGATTTCTATGCCGGTTAAATATTTTTCAGGTTTCGGAGTAGAACGCTGTCACTCCAGGGGCAGCAAAGCAATGTACTTGTACTGGTTTGATATACTTGTCGTTATTCTCAATAAATGCCTCTTAATCTACCATTAAAAGTGCATTCTTTTGGACATTGGGCACTCCTTCTTTCCTGTGGGGATACCACATGATATGGTAAGTTATCACTGGCATTAAATGGCCAGAAGGGCTACTAGATTTGTTAACCATTTGACTACTCATGTCTGAGGTCAGATTTGATCCAGTGGTGGAATTTGTCTGTGAATGAACACCCCAACTGCCAAATTGCCTAAATACACTACACTACAACATAATTCAGGACAGTATCAGATCTCTAACAAGAATGAAGGGAGTTTTTCAATAAATACTCAAAACCAGAATTGCTAAAAATCGCAGCATAGCTGCAGTCCAAAACCAGAAATAGTAATGTTAATGTTTTCCTTTCATTTCATGACAAATGATTGTTAAGAATGAAAAAGGAATCATAGCAGCAATGCGGTGTAAAGTACTGCATTCCCCTAATTTATATTTTATCTCGACAAATAACACAGCAGTGCTTTTTCAGTGTAGTTTATATGCTGCATAAGAAATATGCAAATCAAAACATAAGGCTGTGTTTTTGGTTGCAGAATAGCTTCATAAGAAATCCAGACATATAATTATTTCCAAATAGCAGGGAAAGCTCTGAAAAAATGTTATTTTAAGCAGATTAGTCTTCTGCTAAAGACCCACAGTATTCATTGCATGTATCACATCGGAATTAAGACTACTGATAATGGCTTATACAATGCCTTGGTCCCATTCCATATCTTCTTTTGTGCTAGGGCTCTTGATAACCGTATCAGTTGCATATAAGTTAGCTTTTATAAAGGCTGCTAATTACATTGTTAAAGAAATAAACTGTTATCCATCATTTAGAAGCATTAGGGGCTATGCTCACTCATTTTTAAGCTAAAGTACAATTTCAGTTACAAAAAAGAACCCTGCCCACTCTCAAGGTGTTTATCTTGGACCCCTAAATCTTCTACAATGCCGATGGTGTCTGTGCAGTAACTTCCTAAAGATATACGCCCTATGTTGCTAATGCCTCTAGTGTAGGAGTTGTCCCCCATGTAAGTCCATGAGAGGGACACATGGAACAATGTTGTAAATGTTGTAAATATAATAAAATGTCCCATGTGCATATCTTCCTTCACTAATTGAACAAGTAAAGCTATGCACTTAGGACATTTTATTTGATTTGTGACACTGTGGTGAAGCCTATCTTGATCACTCTTATAAAGAGAAGAGTCTCACTTCTCGTGATGCAGTTTATATTTATATTTGAATTTCTAACAGCGATTGTATTTTTTGTTCTGGAAAGTCCATTCACTCAAAAATCAAATGTTAAAAGCAAGCATTTTTTGAAGTACTTTCAAATGACATTTGTCATGTCTTCAAATGTACTGACGGGAATTTTTCACATTTGTTTGAAAATCTACTAGCCAGCTTAAGAAAGATTGCAGGGCCCAAAGATGTAAACACTGGATGATTTAGCTGCTGCCATAGAGTGTAAAGTATGTACCTGGGTAGGAGGATTCTAGGTTAGGGCATAAGGATATAAGGTTATAAGGTTTGGGGTGTTGGGAAGAAGCAATGGGATTTTGGGGGGTTTGAGTTCCTACAGTGAAAATTTCCAAATCATTTTAACCTTTTGTAACCATTTGTGCACCATTGGTGATAGTGCCAGAGTCAGCTTATAAGGCTCGACCAGATTGCATAGTATGGTCCATTTAGTACAGAGAGTATCTAGGGAGGAAGAAAGAGCAGAGCAAAGCAAAAATCTTATGAGTGTGCTTCTGATCCTTCAATGTCCAATCATAACCTGGGGCTTCATGATCTTCTATTAGGAATGTTGTAGTAGAAGGATTTTCATTAATGATGCCCATTTCACTACAAACATCACACAGTAATTTATTTTACTGAGACCATAATGGAAAAAGAAATGTGAGATTTCCCTTTCCTAGCAGGTATATTCTGAATACTGATTTTTGAACTGTAAAGCTGTGTAAGGCTTGATAGGCACAATTACTATTCCAGCACTTTAGGTATTTGTAAAGGGGCAATCTTTAAATGGAGACACAGTTATTGATGTGCATTCACGTAAGAACATTGGTGGTTGGTTGGACCTTCCTCTCCAAAGGGTATTAACATTTATATGTTGGATGACATTTTTGGGGGTTCAGTCAACTGGAGGTTGTTTACCTGATTGGGAACAAGACAGGATAATTGTCCGTCCTTGCTTGGACAAGCCTTGATTGCAGCACAGATCCTGAAGAATGCATCAATTGCATCTGCTGTATAAAAGCGAGAGTTGTAATTGTATATGATTTGTTTTAAGTGACATTAAAATAAATTTTTCGTGAATTGTGACAGTGCTGTGCCCGGCAATGATGTAAAAAGAGTTTATTACCCAGGGTTCTCATCCAGGCAGGTTGAAGGGCTCCAGAGTGCTTGTCTCATTCAGAGGAAACTGGTTTTTCAATTCCCTAAATGGTTGGTAACACCCCTTTTGGAGCCTGAAGTCTGGTAAATTTGTAGAGATTTAGGAGGGATGAAGTCTCCAATCCTGGGTCTGGATTTTGTAAACAACCAGCACACTAATCGGACAGGTGTGTACAGACTATGGTTCAGGGCTCCACCCCTGTAGATAGAGGAGGTCTCTGCTCAGGAACCAGGAGGCTTCAACTGGGAGACAAGTGGAAGTCAGTGTAGCATGGAACTGCAAGGTGCATGCAAGAGAAGACTGTCTGGAGGAGACAGGCAAGGGCCTGAAGTGCTAGGCCAAAGTAACAGTGTTGCACATGTATGCCAGAAAGCTGATGTTCAATTGTTTTGTAAACCCCTGCAAGGAAAAAAACACATTGGTTTCTGGTTTCTGTTTTAATATAAGTGGGCAAAAAAAGCCCCAAAAAAGATTGTAGAGGCTATGTTAATGGGATACCCCTTGAAGCTGGTTCTAACATTATATTCTTTGTTTTATTGTACTGTTCTTTGAAGTACATCTAAAGTCCCAATTTTTATTTTTTTTGGGGTGGGGTGTTTGTATAGCACTTTAGGTATATTTGCTCACAGCTCCATTTATTATTAACCTGGAAACAGTGTAAAAGAGGTAATGCTAGTAAGATTCCATTGGATTAGTATAGGATAAAAGCAATTTTTTATAAACCCACACCACCAAACTAGACACAACCTTACTTACCAGTAGCTAAATAAAGCCCCCCATTTACAGTGGCTCTACCTTTCTAACCTTTCTAACATCCAGTAGGACTAGCCACCTACACATTTTTCATACCAGGGAGCTGTCCAGAGCATAGTCCTTTTGCCTTTTGAACACATGCCAAATGACCCATTCTTTATTTGGGTACTCATGACCCACATGCCAAACCAAATGACCCACTCATCTAGTGCTATCTGTAACATTATTGCTAAAACAGGGCATCAGATTATCAGTTTATTCACCACTCAGATTTTAAAATGCATTTTCAGTTTCCAAAAAGGAACTCTCCTAACACTAAACATTATTATGCATAAAACATGTAAGCAATGTAAGTTATTTGATCACCTATGATGTAGAGCATTATATAACAGGTTTTCCAAATGTAAGGTGCCCTAAAGGTTTTCACATTATATGAAATAATGTATTTCTAATGAAACATGTTTCATCTTTCTTTTATGGCATACCACTTATAGAAATATCCACATTGAATACAGTGTGGTTTTTTTTAGGGACACAAATATGTAAATTTTGAGAATGTTATTAGCTAGTGCATGCCTTTTGTTAATGAGAATATAAAATACATGTTTGTGTATGGTACTATGGAGCAGAAAAACTGCCCGGATTGGTTATAAATCTGCTGCTCTAGCAGGTTGTTGGTGTTTTTTTTTGTTTTGTTGTTTGTTGTTTTTTTTTTTTTTTTTCTAGCAGGGGTGTTATTTTTTGATGAATTTCATGGCTGGCTTTTCTTGTTTTCAGGTTTCTCTCACTCTGCATTCACATTTGGAATTGAAAGTCATATCAGCCAGTCTAACATCAATGGGACACTAGTGCCACCTGCCGCCCTTATCTCCATCCTGCAGAAAGGTTTACAGTATGTGGAAGCTGAAATCAGCATAAATGAAGTAAGTGTCTTAAATGTAAACATGTTAAGGATGGTTCATTAGTATTACATTGCAGTTATATTACCTACTGAAAGTGAGCGTATTATATGGGTGCATGTATGATATATAATATAGAGAAATCACACAGCACATTATTTTGTTACAGGTAAAGAGGTTATTATTGTGTCCTTACTTGATTTAGAAAAACTAAAGAAGAGAAAATGAGAGTAAGACCAGAGCAGCTGCCTATTGCAGCTAGTCAAAATCCCAGTATCAATGTAAAGCAGAACTCTAACCAAAATAACTAAATGTATGAATAAATAAATAAATAAAAATCAATGGTCCATTTAATAAAAAAAACAAGAAAAACAGTTTTGCTGCAATATTCAGATTAATTACAGAGATCCCCTCCCCATTACTTTTTTTCTTCCACTAGATGCCCCCAATCTAATAGCCAACATTGTTCAACCCACTTCCTCTGAACCCAGGTCATCCATTAGGATTCACATTACCCCAGCAGCAAGTCAGTTTTTCTCCAGTGTCATTGATGAAGAATAGGTCATACTGCATTTATCGTCACATGGGCATACTGTATGCACATAAGGCTCTGGGTTACAGGCACCCTACCGTTTTGGCAGATGTGGTGCATGAGATCAGTTCATACTTTCACATTAATGACATTCAGGATTGCAGCCTGGGAGTGGTGTGGGGAGGCATGCAAGGCAGTCATCAGGAGGGTTCTTATTAAACACAGAGCTCGAATCAAGATGGATCAGGAGACGCAGCTTCTTGTTAGATATCCAGGTTGTGAAATCTCACCACAAGCATGCTCCAACCCTGCCTTGGAGAGAGAGTTACCACATCTATGCAAGCAGTTTAGAACTTTTCCGCATCACAGTTAAGGCCACACTCCAGTTATGTCGCTGGGTGTTTTATGAATCAGGCAACAAATGTGGCCGTATTTTAGCTAGATCACTACAAGACCAGTGCATGGCGCCCTATGTATCCCATATCACATGCTCGGATGGTCAGGTGGCTACTCTTGCTATTCATATTGCTCAGATCTTTGAGGAATTTATTCCTCCTTATACAACCTTGAAACTCAGACCCCCTCCCAAGATCTATTGAAGGAATATCTGATGTCCTTGGGTATGCCCAGACTTCTCTCATCGATAAGACAGGAACTAGATGACCCCACCTCCCTTGAAGAGATACAGTGTGCAATAAACTACATCAAATCAGGTAAAGCTCCGGGCCCCGATGGCTTTACCATGCAATACTTTAAACGTTTGCTCCCTCATCTGGGACCTTATATGGTAAAGCTATTTAATCTTCTTGCCCCAGGACACTTTACAGGCCCATATAACTGTTCTTCACAAGGAAGGGAAAGACCCCTCATCCTTTGGCAGTTATTGGCCAATTTCCCTTTTAAATGTCGACTTGAAACTGTTTACGAAGATTGTGGCTACCCGTCTCCAACAACATTTACCGTATCTGATTCACCAGGATCAGGTGGCTTTTATTTCGATCTGGGAAGCTTGCGATAATACTTATAAAGTACTTAACCTGATCTAGGTCCCTAATCAGACCTATACCCCATGGGCAGAGATGGAACACCACTACGTATATGTGATCCCGCTGCAGCCACCTTGGATTCGGGAATACGAGTTGTTTATATGCTATGAAGTGCCTGATTGTCATATTTTCTTTGTAAGTGCATTTCCCACATTGAATTGATGTTCTAATCAGTATTACACTATGGAGAGCCTGTCTTTTTCTTTTTCATGATACTATATCCAACTGAGCATATATGCACAGTGTTCTGATATAAGGCAGCAGTACCATTGTTTGACATCAGGTTTTGAGGAATGCTTGATATCTTGGATTGATAAACAAGTGCTGATTGACCACTCTTAATTGGGGCTCATATGATTCTGGTAAGCCTTCTTTTGTTGTACACCGAGGTACTGTGTGGTTCATCATTAAGAAGTTTTGGCGGCGTTTGGAATCCACATGTCATTTCCCTCATAATTGAAGAACCACTGAATTCACGGGTTTTGGATTCACATTTGTGTTCCTTTATTTTTTCAATTTGTGGTGACACATAAGAGTTTGATATATTTGCATTGCACGATTGTATTGCACATACATTTTAATTTATCTTAAAGCGCTGCACTGTTGTTTTGTGAATATGTGTGTTCTCAGGGACGGATGCATAGAAGGCTTCTGACTAGGACAACTGGTGGTTTATGTCCAGTCCTTCGACACGTTGGTTTAAGGAAGAATATGTGCCATTGGGTTTCCAGTGTGTATATTATACCAACAGCATCGGTCAAGGTCAATGGCATCCTCTCAAATCCCTTTCCCATTGTGAATGGTACCAGACAAGGCTGCCCATTATCCCACCTACTCTTTGCCCTCACATTGGAACCGTTTTTATGCATGACCTGGAGGAATCCAGATATCCATGGGCTGGAGAGCAGAGGAGTACAACATAAAATTTTGGCCTATGCCGATGATATGATGGTAACCCTCACTAATTCAGGGATTTCTATCTCCAGAAATACTAGAAAAATGCCACAATGAATAGGTGGATCACCCCTATGTAATGACTCTCTGTCTCATCAATCTGTAGAGATGTGGGTTTGTAACCGAAGAAAACTATAGCATAAAGAAACAACCATAAGGAAAGGCTGTGAAGTAACAGTTTTATATAAACCCAAGCAGAGTAGTTCAAGGTACAAAACTTTATTATAAATCTCACAATAAGGTGAAACCTTTCAAGGTGAAAAAACACACACCACAAATATTAAAAGAATCAACAATCCGGATTGGGATATCCAATGGGTACTATGGTGTACCAATCATCACGAATATACTCTAATTAATAAAAAGTAATCATTACCCTGTAAAGGAATCACAAAGTAATTCAATAATTGGCTTACTGATGAGCAAAAGATAAATTATCAACATCATGGAAAGTAACCATGTTAGATGAAAAAATTGGTAGACATCTGAATGATATGAGTTCCTATCATCCTGTGATTAGGAATTACTGAGGATCATATACATAATCCAGAGGAACAAAAATCAGTCAGTTCCGTATCCATATATATACATCATAAAGCTCAAAAATGATATTGTAAAACAATCGTTATAGAGCCATCAAGGACAGCAGGAAAATACATGCCAATTCTAGCGAAAGTATAAGTTGTCATAGATGTAAGACTTTAGGTTGAAAAACAAAAAGTAAACTGTTGACATCATAGGTAATGACCTGGTTGGAGAAGAAAGTGTAGATGGGAATCTGAGTGATATCGGTTCCGGTCATCCTATACTTGGAAAATACTGAGGGATATACAGTGGAGATCGAACGTTTGGGCACCCCAGCTAAAAATTTGTATTAATGTGCATAAAGAAGCCAAGGAAAGATGGAAAAATCTCCAAAAGGCATCAAATTACAGATTAGACATTCTTATAATATGTCAACAAAAGTTAGATTTTATTTCCATCATTTACACTTTCAAAATAACAGAAAACAAAAAAATGGTGTCTGCAAATGTTTGGGCACCCTGCAGAGTTAATATCTTGTACTGCCCCCTTTGCAAAGCTTAGACCTGCCAGTGCGATGGATTGTTCTCAATCATCGTCTGGGAAGACCAGGTGATGTCAATCTCAAAGGTTTTAAATGCCCAGACTCATCTGACCTTGCCCCAACAATCAGCACCATGGGTTCTTCTAAGCAGTTGTCTAGAAAACTGAAACTGAAAATAGTTGACGCTCACAAAGCTGGAGAAGGCTATAAGAAGATAGCAAAGCGTTTTCAGATGTCAATATCCTCTGTTCGGAATGTAATTAAGAAATGGCAGTCATCAGGAACAGTGGAAGTTAAAGCAACATCTGGAAGACCAAGAAAAAATATCAGACAGAACAACTCACAGGATTGTGAGAAAAAACAATTCAAAACCCACATTTGACTGCACGATCCCTCCAGAAAGATCTGGCAGACACTGGAGTTGTGGTACACTATTCCACTATAAAGAGATACTTGTACAAATATGGTCTTCATGGAAGAGTCATCAGAAGAAAACCTCTTCTATGTCCTCACCACAAAAATCATCGTTTGAACTTTGCAAATGAACATATAGACAAGCCTGATGCATTTTGGAAACAAGTTCTGTGGACTGATGAGGTTAAAATTGAACTTTTTGGCCGGAATGAGTAAAGGTACGTTTGGAGAAGAAGGGGCACAGAATTTAATGAAAAGAACCTCTGTCCAACTGTTAAGCATGGGGTTGGGTCAATCATGCTTTGGGGTTGTGTTGCAGCCAGTGGCACAGGGAACATCTCACGAGTAGAAGGAAAAATGGATTCAATAAAATTTCAGCAAATTTTGGATGGTAACTTGATGCCATCTGTGAAAAAGCTGAAGTTAAAGAGAGGATGGCTTCTACAAATGGATAATGATCCTAAACACACCTCGAAATCCACGGGGGATTACATCAAGAGGCGTAAACTGAAGGTTTTGCCATGGCCTTCACAATCTCCTGACCTCAACATAATTGAAAATCTATGGATAGACCTTAAAAGAGCAGTGCGTGACAGACAGCCCAGAAATCTCAAAGAACTGGAAGACTTTTGTAAGGAAGAATGGGCAAAGATACCTCAAACAAGAATTGAAAGACTCTTGGCTGGCTACAAAAAGCGTTTACAAGCTGTGATACTTGCCAAAGGGGGCAGTACAAGATATTAACTCTGCAGGGTGCCCAAACTTTGCAGATGCCATTTTTTTGTTTTCTGTTATTTTGAAAGTGTAAATGATGGAAATAAAATCTAACTTTTGTTGACATATTATAAGAATGTCTAATCTGTAGTTTGATGCCTTTTGGAGATTTTTCCATCTTTCCTTGGCTTCTTTATGCACATTAATACAAATTTTTAGCTGGGGTGCCCAAACTTTCAATCCCCACTGTATGTCTAATCCACAGGAACACAATTCAGTCAATCCAACATCCGTGAAG